ACAGCGAGAGAGGGAACACCAGCAGGGGAAGGGGGAGAGGGAGAAGCAGGCTCCCCGCCGAGCAGGGAGCCCAACGCGGGACTCGATCCCGGGACTCCAGGATCATGACCTGAGCCGAAGGCAGGCGCTTAACGACTGAGCCACCCAGGCGCCCCCCATCCTATTTTTAAGTCACTCCCTTTTGTAAATTTCACATATCCCCTGTAACCTCATTTAAGGCCTGTCTTTTCCTCAAAACCCTCCTTTCCCTTGCTGAACTCTTGTCTTCTGCAGAGCCATGAGCAGTCACATGGTCAGATGTATAGACGGACAATGGATGTGTGGGTTAGGAGACACAATGCAGACCAGATACATGTACCGATCCACGATCCATGGTTTCATTCCCAGAGAAGTGTGACAAGTGATCAAAAGCACGATCTGTGCATCCAAAGGAATTTTGAGTAGTTGATGCGTTTTCTTACACCACAGAGGTCCCTCTTGGGTTGTGGTAGCTCCCGGTCTGCTTTCTCCCTTGGTTCTTGCTCTCAGCTTGGAGCTGAGCCTGGGCTGTGTCCATCAACCCCACCCAGAGGAAGGCCTCTCCTTCCTTTCTTTCTTCAGGTCCCCCATCTTAAAGCCCCAGAGGCTGTCTGACAGGGAGGGACTCTCTTTGGAGGGACGGAAGAGAAGGGTGTGGGAAGCCAGTCAAAATCCTTTCCAGAGGGCAACAGAGGAGGTAGCCAGGAGTGCGAATGCATCCTATCCAAGCATCCGTGTGTGTGTGCGCTTCATACATACATACACAAAAACTGGAGTTAATTTTACAGAGATTGTGTCTTATACCTCCAGCTTCCATAGAGCTAATGATAGATAAGGGCGTTTTCACTGCAGGTGGATAGACTTGGGAGACCACAATCCACCCATGCTATGTAAAAATCCGTAGAATTATGAGTCACCTTGTAATGAGGCTTTAGTGTAGTGTGTTTTCAAATCAGAAAGGGATTGTAATTATTTATGTTATGATTTGAAAATAACAAAATTTACACATTCTAGATTCATAATTATAATTATTTAAACCATAAAAGCTTGTGTTTCTAAGGTGTCTTGAGTTTGTAGACTGCTCCTTGACTTGATTACTTACAACCTTCAGCACAAGAGAGGATATGTACAATCCTAAACCTTACAAAGAGAGATGGGTCCTACTTGATCTCATTGTTTTGTAATCATGCTTTACCAGTGTACTTCTCCCTATTGTTTCTTCAGTTTTGGGTGTTGAATATAAGTAGCTTTAATGAAGGTCCTGTGCTGGCTCAGGGGGTCAGTGTTCACGCTACGACCTGCCCCTCAAGGCTTGGTCTAGGGCACCCCTAGGCAGGCGGAGGTGGGACTGTTTCCATTATTGAGGAGATCACCTGTCAGCCACCTCTGCCCGCTCCACTTCCCTAGGAAACCTTTAGAGAGGATGAAGGAAGCGAGCGTCTTTCTTTCCATGTTCCAAAGAACACTTTTCTGTATAAAGGAAGCCCTAAATCCTTTGTAAGGTCCACAAGCTAAGCGGTGCCTCTTTAAGGGCTTGTCAGTTGTGACCCAGATCATGGCTGAGTGTCGTCCCCGTTTCCCTGGAATGAAGAAGTCAGTCTTAAAACTGCAGCAGGACCTGCGTTCAGGTGCGGCGGCTGCCAGGAGGGGCAGGGGGCTGGCCATCTGACCGCGATGTCAGGCTCAGCATTAACTCAGAAGCAGAGAAGAGGTGCTCATGTCCCTCACGCCTCGAGGCAGGCAGATTGGGGCGAGGAAGAGAGGAAATGTCGGTGATGCTGGGGTTGGTGGGTGAGGAGCCATCATGGCCGCGGCGAGCGGGAGCCCTTTCCCAGGGCCGGCACCTGCCCCGCATTGACTATGCATGGCTACACCCAGCATGTCTCGTGGTGCGGGCTTATTCTGTGGGAATCCGCGGGCAAATATGCAGCACTCGTGAAACAACTCAAACATTTATCAGTAGGGGTGGATGAGGTAAACCCAATATATTCGGGGCCATGGACTATCACGCAGTCTTGTTAAAGCACATCTGTAGGTAGACAAGCAAGATTCACACAATCTGTCTTCACTAAAGAAGCAAGTTGCAGAAGCTTCTACACAATATGACCTAATTTCCATGAAGAAGAAAGGGAGGGGGGAGAGAGAGGTTTGCATAAACATAGAGGAAAATATTGGGAAGATCAGTTACTCATAATATTTAGCTCTAGAAGGGACAGGAGAGGATGGAATTGTCGGTAATATTTGCCTATCATATTTGAACTTTTATAACTCCTCTGTATATCTTCTGTAACCTGAAAACCTGAAAAAAGCCACTTAAAAGCCGCCTTTTTTGATAAGAAAGGAGCACGACCACTGTGGAGAGGAGGGGTCGCTCACGCCTCTGCCGTCCCTGCAAGTGTTCCTCCCATCAGCGTCGGGACTGTGTTCCTCACTGGGCCCCTCCACCTGCCCTCAGCTGCCCGGGGGGCCTGGGGCTGAGGCCGTGCGCCAAGGCTCCTCTCCGCGCTCTGCTCGCAGGAGACTCACTGGAGGCTGGTCCGCCTCTCCACCTCCCGTCTGGCTCTTGAGAGTCTGATTTTCACAGTGTGCGGTGTTCCTCTTGAAGGGAAGCCCTGGGTGAGCATGGAGTGTGTGGGACATAGATTCTATCTGCCTATGGCACACAGGCTTGGGGTCTGCTCGCAGACACACACACACGTGCATGCACACGTGTGTCAGCCCTGCCCGTTAGCAGCTTCTCAGGTTCTGTGGCTGGGGTTGGGCGTGTGCAGGGCCCCCACCCCTCTGGCTGCCAGAGCTGCCCTACGCCACGGTGACTGCTGACCGGGGTGCTCCAAGGAGGATGACCTGGCGGGCGGCCTACGCGTCCTGGGGAGAGGCGGCTGTTTCCAGTGTCCTTGAAGGCACCATGAGCCTTCTCTTCTCCCTCCTCCATCCAGCTCCGCTCTACGTGTGGGGAGATTTCCTCTGACGGTGACGGCCCTCAGCTAACAAGTGTGCGTCTGTCCTCAGTTTGAGACCCTAGGACCTCAGGATGTGCAGGCCAGAGTGAATGAACCTACCAGCCTCTGGACAGGAAATCAGGTTTTATTGAAATGCTTACACACAGTGAGCTGTGGACGTTCCACACACATTTACAGCATTGTAAGACGACATATGTTGACTCTTCCAGCACCTGCTCCTGCTATCAGTAAACATTCACTTTCCCGCCCCCCTTCCCTTTCCCAGCAAGACAGACCAGTCCATGTCTGCTGGACCTTGGTGCACGCCAGGGAGGAAGATGCACCTCTAAAGTCCGAGCACAACCTGTGGCCCCACGTAAACCTGGGTCTGGCTCTCCAGTTGGTCATGTGGATCTGGTTACAGTGGCTCATCTGAGGTGGGGGCCCCGGCTCCAGGTGGCCTCTGGACACAGTTGCTCTGCTGTCCCCGTTTGTCCAGGCTTTTGTCACCAATGTGAGCTGTCCTGAGCTGCTCTGACCGCCCCAGCCGGCCAGGTCCTGCTCCCTCGTTCTGGCCAGGTTCTAGGATGCCTCAGGAAGAAGACGTCATGGCCTCAGTTTTGGGGGCATCAGTATCATAAAAGGGGTCGAATCGCTGAGTCCAGTGGCTGAGGCAGCGGGACGGGGTTTGGGCAGAACGTCTGTCTGTCTGGTGCTGCAGGGCCAGGCTCGGGACGGGGGTGGGCTTGCTCTCCTCGCTGGCTTCCTGCTCCCTCTGCAGCTGCTCAGCCACTCAGACCTAGCTCCCAAATCTGCAAATATCAAGGGAACTGGAAACCAGGACTGCTGCTTGCCAATGTTGGACAGAAGCGCTCAACACAGTTTTATGTTTTGTTAGAATAATTCTCCATTTAAACAGAAATGACTGTAGATTATTTTCATTGAAAGGAGAATAGGTTTCTGCTCCCCCCAGATAAAATGCCTGGTGTCTTTGTTGCCCTGATGACCAGGTCCTACAAGCTTGGCCAGAGGTCACCCAACCCTCTCACCCCTCCTGGGGGAGGAGGCCTGCAGTGGTCTCAGGGGGAGTCTTCACTGGTTGAGAAGCCCTCATAAACGCAGACGCCCTCGCGGGGTGACATACCACCCGCTGTTGTTTTCATCTGACACCCTTCTCTTCACTTTTCCTGGTGGACAAGCAGGAGAGGAGGCCCTGGGGCAGGTGGGGGAAAGCAGGGGCACCCAGCAGGGACGGGTTCTGCTGCTCTGTGTCCGTGTCCTGCAGACGAGAGGGCTGGCCTAATCAGGACCAGGCAGGGGAAGGCCGTGCTGGGGGTCATGCAGAGGGAGCGTCCAGCCCCCAGCTCAGGCCTTTGCCCCCTGCCCCGGACTGGCACCGAGATTAGAAAATCCCCTTGTTTTCCTTCCATGGTGGCTGGACCCAAGTTCTGGGCCACTGTACCTCATTTCAGGGACCATTCTTTCTCCCTATTCACTTTGAAAATGGCCCGTCTACTTGGCCAGACAACATTATGAGCAAAATTACCTACATGCTGGAGTTTAACACGAATCTGACTAAAGTCCCAGTCAGTTGGAAGGTAACCCCAGCTCCACGGATGGGATGAGCAGAGACCAGCTCTAGCGTGTCACTGCTGAGTCACCCGCCAGGGCTCTCCCGCTGGGGGAGGCCCGCCTGTGGCTGCCCGCATCCCAAGGGCCCTGGGGAGGCCGTCTGCAACGTGGCCGTGCACTAGATGACCGAGGTCTCTGTCTGCAGGAAGGACGGGGCGCGGGAGCCCCGGTGGAACTGCTGGGCGCTTTCCGAGCCGTTCCTCCAGACGGACAAGCTGTGGAGCCTGCAGTCCCGGCCACAGGGCCGGCTACGGCACAGACTGCGCCACTTCCTTTTCAGCTCGCTCTGCACCTGGGGCGAGGGCGAGGCAACGGGGAAGTGGGGGTCAGGCAAACGTGGGAGCTTACAAACATAAACTTGGGGGCCGGTCGGCACTGACAGGTCTCTGCGCGACCCCTCTCCTCTCGGGTATCTGTGGCAGAGAAGGTGCGGCCCGAGCAGCAAGCTTGGGGTTTTCGTGAGGCAGGTGGGGAATTGGGACTTGGGAGCCCACTGAAGGAGGTGAAGGAAAGCAGGCTCGGGAAGGGCCTTTGAACTGAGGGAGGGCAGAGGTGCAGGCAGGAGCATCGGGGGCAGTTGGCCACACAAGGTTGGGCAGGTGAAGGCATGTGGGAAATGAGCAGAGCAGGGCAGGGCTCAGAGGGACTCGCGCACGTACATGCAGACAGCTGTGGGCAGGGAGCTCAGGAAGCAGGGTTCCCATCCATGTGCCCGCCCCTCCCCCTGGGTTCTGAGTGTCCCGATATCCGGGGTCAAGGAGCAAGACAGTGACCATGCAGAGTGGCAGGGTCCTTCTCCACCACCCGGCCGGGGAGCTTTCTTGAGCTGGCCTGTGGGAGGGCGACCGACAATGCTTGGTGTGGAGAGACAGGCTTTGTGAACGGGGCTGGAAGGGACGGCAGGGGGTTTGCCCGGACAGAAGACCTGAGCTCTCCTTCAGGTTGGGGGGCCACATTAGGGAATCCCACACGAGCCGAATGTCCCCCGAGACGTGACAAAGCACTTACTTCACTGTTGAGAAAACAGTACAGAACCGCCACCACCAGGCCCTGCAAGCGAGAAAGGATCGTCAGAGGCCACTCACCAACTTGGGGGGAGGGACAGTCCCTTCCCACACGAACCTGAAATGATCCGATGCACAATTCAAACAGGATCTGGTATTTGGAGGAGATGCCAATAGGAAACACGGCAAACACCACATAGTGAACTCCAAACAGCGGGATGAGCAGCAGCGTGGACTTGGCGAGCCTCCTGCAGCAGAGAGAGGGACGCTGAGTGCCGCCAGGGAGCCCATGGGCTCAGGAGTCTTGCACGCTGGCCTCACCGGTCTGAACCTTGTTTCTCACAAGTTTAAGTAAAACCAACCTCCCCCACCCAACGACGGGCAGAATGTGCCAGCATGGTGATAAAAATGACTGGGCCTCACAACGCAGCAAAGCTCCTACAAGACCTCCGGCGGGTGCCCTGCAGCGACACAGGTCTGAGTGCAGTGTGTCCCATAACCGGCATTGGCAGGGCAGAGGCAGGCCTGGCTTTCTGATCGCAAGAGCAGACTCAGCAGGGGTGCAGAGGCCTGAGCACCGAGTGGGGCAGCAGGGCAGGTGGCCCGGGCTCTGGGTGGCCTGGACCAGCCAGGTGTAATTGCTCTGTCCATCAGAGTTACTACCCTCCCTGATCAAAATGCAGATCTTCTGCTCACTGCATTCTATGCTTGAAAGTAAAACAGCCGAGCTCACGTCCCCCTTTCCTGTAGCTGCTCTCCCCACGCCCCGAACAAACACCGTCTCTGTTCTCTACCCGGCGTTTCTCAAGCTTCAGCGGCACCAGGCCACCTGGAGGTCACATCAGAAGGCAGATTGCTGGCCCCACCTTCGGACTGCTGGCTCTGTGGGTCTGGGGTGTGTCTATCAGGTTCCTAGAGATGCTGCAGCTGCTGTTTAGGAACCCCACTTTGAGAATCACTGCTCTGAGCCTGGGACTCTCACTGCTGCACATTAGAATCATCCAGGGAACTTCTGAAACTTCTCAGTCCAGCATGCCTCCTCACTCCAATTAAATCAGGTCCCTGCGGGCGGGCGGGACCTGCATGGTAGCTCTAACATTTTCCTGGGTGATTCCAGCGTGCGGCCAGATTTGACCCTCGCAACTCCAGCATGGACAGGAGCATTGGGGTCCCCTGGGGGCTCGTCAAGGAGGAGCTTGGCCCCCAGGCCAAGTCAGGCCACCTGGTGATGTGTGTGCACGTCAAGACCCCCTAAATGAACATCCGGTAGCCTCTGCATTGACCCTGCAGCCTCATCCTGAGGGAACCCAGCGAGGAGGCTCCACTCTGCACCTCCCTCACTTTCTCTTGTTCGTTGACCCTACCCAACACTTAGAAAAAGTCATGAACTTCTTGACATATTTTTGAGGCACCCGTCTCAAACCTAGCACTCAGAGCCTGGGATGTAAGTTCTAGAAATGTGACCATTTCTCCTGGTTTCCCTCACAACAAAAACCACATCCTGTGGTGTTTACAACAAGTGGGATGTCCCGTTTCAGGCAATCTGTGCAAACCCCAGGAGTCCAGGCCATTCTGCAGCAGGGCGTGACCTGGGCCTCATCAGCAAGGAAGGCCCGTCAGTGAGCATCACACTGCCGGCTGCTCATAGATCCAAACATTTAACCTTACGGGGCATTTCATACCCCGGCTCAGCGCTAGCCTGGTGAACAGAAGTGGGTTGTGTAGGGAACTGTGCCCTTTAGTCCAGTGCGAGACAAAGAGTCTGCCTGAATTCCCTTACGTACATCATGCTCACTTCTAGAGAAGAGTTTCTAGTGAGGCTGGGCCCCTGGGACTCTGTTCGGGGGCTTTGTTACGGTTATAAAGACAGTTGCCGAGAAAAGGCATCAAGACACAGCCAGACGGCGGCACCACAGACAGGCTCTGCCTCTTTTGTCATCCTGGAAAAAGAACAGTTTCTATTTCCCTACTTAATTTTGTTTCTAAAATAAAAGCATATATCTCCAAGACCTACTGAATGAACACTCCCAAAAAGCCCAAAGAAAAGGTCAGCATGGAAGCTAAACAAGACTAGCCAAAAATCAAACTTGATTTTGAAGAGCAACTGAGAGCAGTCCTGTCCCTGAGCTGCAAGTGTGAGTGGGCCCCAGGGACCAGTCAGGTGCAGTC